TACTTTCTAGTGTTTTCCAAGTCTTTCATAAGTTAGTTATTCTATATTACAAGATGTATCTGCAAACTATATTACCGGTAGATTGTTTTAATGACATGTAAATTTTGATTGTTTTGTAAAACAAAAAGGTACAAGAAATGACTGCATGATGTAAAGCACATCTCCAACTTAAGTTGTGTCTGGATTATCATTTAAGACTCTAATGGCGTGATTGACAATTTAGCCAGCGTATGCTGACTTATGAAAAATCTGACAAAAACTCTGGCATATGTTGGATAAGTAATGGGTACGTTTTATATAAGTTATGAGAAGGCTGAAACATGCTGACAAACGTCCACATATGGCAAGTGCATGTAGAAATTTAAAAAATTTCTGACATATGTCAGCGTATTCTCATACGTAATCCATAAGTTACAGATAAGTTATGTAATCGTTGACACTTAATTGCATGTTACTCATAAGTTGTGGTGTCTAGCTTATCCAACCTGTATCATCTTCATCATAGGGTGAGCGTGAAGGTGAGAATAATGGATCCTCCCTGCGTTGACGCCCACGGCCACGACTAACAGACTTCCTAGCAGACTTGATACTTAATCTGCTGCAACTACAAACCCCTTTTTATGTATGTTTATACAGCAACTGCGAAGTTTAGGGAATTCTTTTTGTGCTTTTTATGCACCTTATTTATCCACTGGCTTGTGAAATTTCATGGGCATTATGGTGCCGTGTCTTATGCAAAAGTTAAGCAGACATAAGTTCTGGATTCGTTATGAATATGCTATGTATACTCCCAAAAGTGTAAAAAATGCAAAGAAAGTTAAGCGTCTGCCTGCCTTTTAGAAGTTTCTGGGACGTTGCCATATGTTGGCCAAATCGTCAAGGTATGACAGCGCCATAACCTTCAATGAACTGAAGGAAGTAGAACAAAGTGAACACACAGCTCCAGCCCTTTTTGTCTGTGGCATTTGATCACAAGCGAGCAAAAAAAAATAAAATAAAAAAAATATATATATTAAGCATTGTCCACATGTGTTAGAGGGAGGCAGTGTGACATGATCTGTATGAATATTTGTTCATCAATATTTGTGCAGCTTGGCCTGCTCTACACTGTATTGATCTGTAGCCAGAGCCTAGAGTACTTGTTTGACTCCCTGAACCTGACAGAGCCATAAACTCCCACTATAATACAGCGATGTGTCAGTGTGTCTGCTCTGACTGAATGAGGGGTAAAATAAATCTCTACAGGCACACTTTAGTTGTTCTATTTAATTTTTTTTTGCTCAAGTGTTTTAATTATAAAAATACTGTAGGACATTTCAGAGACGCTAAAAGTTAATATCATTACTTCTTGGGATGATTCATGATTAGACGTCTATAGGCAAAATTACAGAATTCATTGAGATGATAACGTTTAACTGGACCTTTTATTGAAGACAATACTTAAGTAGTTAAGACATTATTGTTGTACCACTACCAGTCTCATAAAAAATGGAAGTCAACCCAGAGGTTTGGCGTACATCTCACCAGTGGCGGGCTGGCCAATAGAGTGTGCTAGGGCGCCGCCCCACACCCAATGAACCAGATTTTTTTTTTTTTATACTTTAATTTTAAATTAAATTGGAAAATATTTCGAAATATATCTATATATATATTTTAGATGAGTAAGATAAATATTTAATCTTTAATGACTCGTAAAGCGTCATTCCATTTTTCGTCGGATTGGTGATATATTTCCGCCCTGGGACGCAAAAAATCTTTGCCCATTGACTCTCATTAAAAGTTGTACATGTGCAGTAGCTCCTCTGCAATACAAAGGTATAGAGCTCTATAGCGTATTTGCTCACCACCTCCCGCCACAGCGCAGATGTTTTGCGGGTGAAAGACAAGTAGAGTTGCAGGAGTTGGAGACGCACTGGAGAGAGAGAGAGAGAAATGGTGCAAGAAATGTCCTTTTCCAGAACCTGGTTTAGCAAGAAGGCATAAATAACTGCATGTAGCTTTATTCTGCTTTTCCTGCCTCCTTTTTCAAACGTCAGAATCTTACCCCGCATAGATAAAGACAGGTAGGACTGAGTTAAAGCACTTTTTAGAAAAGGCAAAAAAAGTAAACAATCTGGGATTCATATGGAAAATAATATAATATAGTGTACTTTCTAGATGTTTGTTAATTTGCATAGTTGCTCATAAATAAACACTTTTTTAGAAAATAGTTTTTATATATAAGAAAAAAAGTATAAAGCTGACCAATAGCTTCTCTATTATTAAAATGGAACATTGTTTTTTTTTTGCAGGTTTGTGACACAATATTGGACCATGCAAAACACAGATTTGCTTTCATAAAGCCTCAGAAGGGCAACGTTCATGTTCAAAAAGTAAACCTATGCATGAAATTGTGTTTTCATAATGTTTTTGTTGTTGGCATTCATATAAATATACTGGTGTGATAACTTAGTATACGTTTAAATAGTTATAGGTGTATGTCTATTTTGAATTTATAGCCCCCCCAGAGAAAACTCCACCAGCCGCTACTGCATCTTAATCAGAACCAATCTTTAGAGCCAGTTATCGACTGTAATCAGGCTCCATTCTCTAATTTTGGGGCAAGTTTGAAATTACCAAGTCGAAACTCTATTGTTAATAATATAAACATTCTGAACTGATTTATTTGTCGAAGAAGCACTGTAATCCTAGTGAATTTAGGGTATTTTAAAAGTACAGGGAAGCTTAACTTGTAGCTATCATCTTTAACAAATTTGGCTTTTCTTAAAGAGGGGCAAGAAGACCGAGGCCAATGGCCGAATAGACTAAAATTGAACTGTTTTGTCTACATAAAGAGAGACTTTATGTTCAGATAAAAGCTAAAAGTAACACACGGTTTCCCTTATCTTCTACTTATTTCTTATTTACTTTTTACATGTGTTGTCTTACTGTTTTGTTTAGTTGCAAAGAAAATGGTTGTCCATCAAATATACATCTAAGTTTGCAGTATAGCTCTGTGTTTTCTGATCATTCAAGTTACCATCCTACTTACAGACGTACATTGAAATCCATCCAGAAATGTAACCCACTCCCTTAAATATTTGAAGGAGAAGGAAAGCTTCGTTTTCTTACACCACATGCTATGATAAAGACACAGTTATTGTGCTTACATGCATGTTTGTACTTGTGGGTAAAGCAGTAACGACAGCACATTCTGGTAAAAGCCAACTTCAGCATTAATGATGGACCAGAATCAGCTCTAGCTGTGGGATCAAATACTCTGTCTGCTAAATAATGTAACACCCAGGGATGATGACAGCCCCATATGGACCCGAAACAGAGGCCTAATGTATAGCAGGTACTCTAAGTGTGTCAGCTACAACAGTTTAACAGTTCGCAACCAATAGAAGGATCATCGCCAGATTTATACACTATTCATAGGTGTGTGTTGATATCACAGGACGGCATGGGTGAGAAAGTGCTCAGAGATGTGTTTGTGTGTTGTGTTTATGATTTTGTTGGCAATGTGTGTCACTAATCAATAATGTAAAACACTCGTTCCCCCACCCCCCTTCAAAGTGACGCTCCCGTGTTCCACATAATTAACTCTCTATCAACTGTGCACACACTGACACACACAGAGTAGAGCTGAGAAAACACTTGATCTTTAAATATAAATGAGCTCACCGTTAATAAAAAACCCTATAACCAAAACTAATACAACAAACACTTTAAATAATGTTTATTGCTGTAAATTGTGCTCCGTTTAGGTTTATTCTACCTACTGAATGCCAGCATAAGAAGCTTTGTTTTATTTTAGTTGGGGGGGGGGGTCATATTTAATTCCTTTCTCCATGATCACAAATTTAATGAAATTCATTCGATAAATTTTTTATTGCTCCAGACAGAACTGTAAATAAGTCGGGTTGATAGGTTGCCTCGCTCACCAACCAAATCATTTAAAACTCTAAAGGGGTCATAGAATGCAAAACCGAGTTTCCATTGTCATCGATGAATAACGATAGTTCAGTGGGTGAAATGGCCGTACAGAAAGGGTGAAAGCCCATCGACAAATCTCACAATTCTAAATTTCCAAATTTTGGTTCTGGCCTGTAATTTTGTCATGCCCTCAAAATTGACTTACACACCAGCCAACTGGTTCACTGGCCCAAGGGAGGGTGGGGGTATGAAGTGTCAACTGCTGGGCCGCTGACTGGACCGGACCTCAGCAGAGAGCCATGAGCCACCCGTCCTCAGCCAGAGGAGGGGGGCTGGTAACAGACATCCCAAGTGTCCCGGAAGTTCCAGGAGGCAGTTGCACTGTAGTAGACCAAAATCCCAAATGACTTTTAAATTGCCCCCCGCACATTTTCTAGGTATGAAAAGTAGGACATGTCCGGGAAAAAGAGGACGTCTGGTCACCCTACCATATCAGCAATTTCAATGTTTCATTGAGTGAGTGCTTGTTGCTATGATGAGTCTTTGCTCAGTAGCTTCGCAAATGTGCCATTTTCAGCCCAACCAATGTTATGGACCCTATTCAGAGACCTTAAGGACCAGCACCAAATACCCTATAGAATCATTTTATCACCCCTTTAAATAAAATAATCTAAAATTACATAATTAGCATTTTTTATATTTTTTTTTCCAGTTTTTTCAAACTTTTTTCCATTTTTTTTTTCTTTACAGTTTTCATATTTTTGTATGTTTTATTTTTTTTAATTTCCCTATTAGAAGTTGCATTTTACAGATCATATTTCCTTTTGTTCATTCCATTCACCTGTCTAGCTTCGCCCAGTTTCTTACTACTGCTCTTCTGTTTCACCTGCTCCTGTCTCTATTTAACCTTCCTTCTTCCAGTCATCAGTGCTAGGTTATTGAGAGTTTTATAGTGGATATTATTGTTTCTGATTGCCTGATCTTGACCCTTTTGGCCTTTGGACCTCTGAGCCTTCCTGTCCCCGTTCTGATCTGTTTGCCTGGCCTGTCTTCAGATTCATGCTCTGTTTTTTACTGTTTACCGAACTTGGAACTGCTTCCTGACACCGAACAGGTTTTCCCTTCGGTTACTCTTCTGATCTCTGATCTTCTGGCTGGGACCCCTGTGAACCTCTTCGACACCAGTTTTGGCTTCGCCCTCTGGATTATCCTGCCTTCCTTCATCTGCTTGGACCTGATCTCCTGCCAGTTCTTCAGTCTTTGGGGCTTCAGTGTCTGGGACTCTCGGCAGCCGACCGGCTTGAATCTACCTCTTCCTCGGACTTCCACGTACTGAACTTTAAGAATAAGTTAGTGACTCACACATTCATAATCTTCCTCCAGATTACCGTGGTCACTAACTAGTGTTTTCTTCCTGCAAAGGTTCCTGCTTTAGACCCCCTAGCTATTCACTGCAAATCCATCATCTCAAAAAAAAAAAAAAAAACACCTCTTGATATATATACTGTCTGTCTGTCTGAATACAAGAAAACACTAAAATTACTCTCAAATCCTTTTGAGAAGGTTTTATTTTATAAGAAATTCTAAAAGTTTAACTTTCTCATTGCATGTTTTGAAATTTCCTTTTATAAAACATGTTCTTCGTTTGCAAGACTAATGGAACCAAATTCACTCCATATGTATTAGGATGAAATCATTTTCATTTTCATGCAAACAACTTTTTTGAAAACTTGTATTTCTGCAGATTTCCACATAATCTTACATTTTCTGATTTACCAGTCAAAGTGTTTGTTATTCACAACAGTGACTCATTTGCAGTTTCCAGAACACACAGCGACAATGTGTGATGTTATCATAACCTCATTGGCTGGATGTTCTTCTCTGGGATTTATTTAAAAAATGGTTCTTCCTGTTTTGACATCTCTTCATGTTTAAGCTTGGTTAAGAAGAAGAGCTTCCTTAATCATCATCACAAAAGTCCCTTTTTTGGAATCGCCAACAAAATACAATCAAGCAAATGATGGTGATCACTTAAAGTTTTCTGTTAGTCTCCTTAGATTTCCCTCTTTTGTTATGTATAAAATGGATTAATATCGTCCGAATTTCCGGCCTGAGAGGATCTATTTTCCAACAACGCTGTGCTTTGAAATTTTGCCACGGCAAGGGATGTGTAAAATACCACAGACAGTCACGAAGAAACACATCTGCACACAAACATACATAAGGAGTGAGTGGTGTTGATGCCAGCTTGGAGTGATGGTAATATCACAGACTGAAGGAGCTGCTAATGAACAGTGCGAATGGGAAGAAAGGCTCCAGCTCAATTCACTAATTGCCTTAAAAGCTTTTCGTACAATTTACCCTGTCAACAGAGATGGTGGTATTGGTGCGTGTGTGTGTGTGAGTAGGTGTCTGTGTGGGTGGGATGTGGGACAAGAAAAAGAGATAATTTTAAGAAAACATATTGTAAGGAAAGCAGGAAAGGAGAAAAAAAAAAGCACAATGCTTTTACACCTACGCAGACCCAATCAAATACCCGGTCTCCCTCATGCAGCAAGACGTCTTATTTAGCTGAAGCCATTTCAAACTACAGCCTGTCATTTCACACTTCCAAAAAAGAGCTGAAAGCAGCACATCCAGTGACAGTTTAGTGCGCATGTATCCAACGACTGCATGGTATACAGGCATGCGTTTTTCACACAGAGACAAACTCTGCAGGCTACTGTACTGCAGCTGAAACTGGCTCTTGTTCAAATAGAAACCCTGCTGAGTCCTTTGAGCATTAAGGGAAGGACACTTCCTATGAAACATAAGCAGCCACCTTTTGTGCTCTTTAATATTGTGTTGGATTGTTGCAAAAAAAAAAAAAAAAGGAGGGAGTTTGAAATTGCCCTGTGTTTGGTAGTGTGTAGAAGCAGGTTCAAATCAACATGTTGGTAAAGCTGATACCTTAGGAACTTAAACTGAACGTGACTCACTTTGGCGACATTAAAACTAGGTTTTTGGAGGGTTAAATCCTTTTGTTTTTCCACTCAGGTTGGGATGTCGGTCTATAATGTACGTATGTCCTGAGGGATCAAGCTGACTTGAATCTGTCACATCTAAGACAGTGATTATCATCACTATAGATGTATTCCTGAAATAACAGCATGACCATTGCTCTGTTTGGCCTGCTGATTTAGACCCATATAAGTCAAAAGATTAATAAATTAGATCAACTGTTTAGGGTTTCAGTAAAGATTATAGACTTATTTAGTTTACAGAATACAAAAAAAAGAAAATAAAAAAGTCGTTTTAAGAGAGAAAACGAACAAGAATGCCAAGTCTTTAAAGTCATGGGGAAGTCATATTTAACCTGTCAAATCATTCTGGCTTAAACATGTATATAAATGTACGCTTTATCAGACGATATTGTCCCTAATGTTAGAAAATTTCTATTTTAAAAAAATCCTGTCTTAAAATTTGTGTGGTTTTTTTCAACATATTCTCATTATCAGTTCGTATGAAATCGTACGAAAAGTCATGCACACTATTTCGTACGTTTTGGACGTTTTTCCTCAAAAAAACCAGATCAGTGCGCATGCGCTGGCAGACAAAAAAAAAAAGGATCTGCGGATGGACGTAAAACTGGGAAAAACAGTGCAATAATCACTTATTCATGTCTCTAACTACGTTGCTTGCTGTTTTATATTGTAGGGTTGGGGTCAGGGTTAGGGCTAATTGTAATTTATATTCTATGTTCTTGAATGGTGCGTAAGATGCACATGCGCATACGACGAAAAAAACGTCCAAAACGTACGAAATTACAGTGCATAACTTTTCGTACGATTTCATACGAACTCATAATGAGAATACACTGTTTTTTTTGTTATCTTGCAGGCCAGTTATTTATACGTCAGTTTGTACACCTAAATTTGGCCAATCATATATCAACAGTCAATCTGTCAATCAAATTTTATAGGTCATAGAATCTTGATTCATAGGTCGCAGCTAATATACGCAACGGCTGAAATAAGAATTTGGCCATCATTTGGATTTTATTGTAGCTTGGTAAATGAGAAGTTTCATTTTAATATTCAATAATTAAGCACTGCATCCAACAGACATAAACCCTTCACCTTGATTTGAAATACAAGAAATCAGCTAAAATGTGGTGGCCTTCTGTCTCAATAGCTATGTTAACATACACAACATTTCATTATCAGATTGAAATGTACCCAGATAAAAAACACAAAAATAATCCTGTCCAGTTAGCATGGAGATAAATGAGCTAATTGGCTTTTTCACAAACAAAATAGATTTTAAAATCATAATTAATAAACTTTCAATTTTGATATACGCTAATTTCTCTTGGTGTTCTTTCCAAGAGAAGTTGATGTCTTTTGATTTTAAGCAAAACAGCAAACTGAAACATGTGAAATGAGGCAGCATTATAAGCAGCTTACAGTAGACTATAGCAATAATTCAGTGAAAAAAAACATTTAAAACCCTGAAACAAATCAGTTAGCACAAAATATCTCAGTGTTAAGTTTGTTTTTTGTTATGCTTTTTCCAAATAACTCAGTGGTAAAAGTAGCAATTAGTGTTTTTCCTGAGTTTTCAAAAACATTCATACCAAGACAAAAAAAATAAACAGGTGTGTATTGTACATCACTACATCACCATCTGTTGCACACCTTACATTCAAAGATGCAAGTATGTTTCATTGCTTGTAACAGTATGCTATAAAGGGATAATCGGAAGCAGGAATTACACCAATGCAATTATAAAGAACACTATTTACATATAAAACAGGTGGTAGATTTTAATTTAACTGGAGAAAGACACATTAATTCATTCATTAATTCTTTGTTATGAATTTACATAATTCAGATTGTTGTCTCTGAGTCTATCTATCTATCTATCTATCTATCTATCTATCTGTCTGTCTGTCTATCTATCTATCTATCTATCTATCTATCTATCTATCTATCTATCTATCTATCTATCTATCTATCTATCTATCTATCTATCTATCTATCTATCTATCTATCTATCTATCTATCTATTAACATGAATGCCAACAACAACAACAAACATTATAAAAACAAACATAATTTAATGTATAGATTTACTTTTTTGCTTCTTTTTTTTTTACCCTTCTGGGGCTTTGTGAAGGCAAATCTGTGTTTTGCATGGTCCAATATTGTGTCAAAAACCTAAAAATAAATGTACCAGTTTAATAATGGAGAAGTTATTAGTCAGCTTTATACTTTTTTGATATATATAAAAACTATTTTCTGAGAATGTGTTTATTTAACAGCAACTATGCTTATTTAACAAACATCTAGAAAAAGGACACTATATCATATTATTTTCCATGTGAATATCAGATTGTTCATTCTTCTTTGTCTTTTTTAAAAAGTGATTTAAATCAGTCATATCTGTCTTTATCCATGCTGGGTCAGATCCTGACATTTTAAAAAGGAGGCAGGAAAAGCAGAATAAAGCTTTAGCCTCGCTACATGCAGTTAGCCAAGCCTTGTAGCTAAGGAGCGAGTGTACCGTCTACATCTGTCTTTGGACTGTTGATTAATTTTGATGTTCGGCTGATCGGGTCCAAATGTTTTCATCTCTTGGTAAGTTTCCTTTAAGGGATTTCACATCCGCAACTCACAACGCCCTAGCGCCCTCTATTGGCCAGCTGCCACTGGTGTTACTGTTAATATTTTTATGTTTATGCATGAGAGAGATGGATAGAACAATGAGGGGATATCAGATGAGGTCTGGAGATGTAGAGTACAGGTGGGCAAGTCTATTAAAAGGAGATTTTGCTGAATGTTTTCATGTTGCTTAACGGCAAACTCACATATGAAGCTCTAGCGGAAGTTCAATTGAAGAAACTCTGACTTACCTCCATCCAATCAGAAGCTAATCCGTCTCCGAAGCGAGCCATTCAGCTTCGAACTACTCCACCACAAGCCCAATCAGCGTCCTGCTCTCACTTTATAAACGCTCCAAATCTTCATCCCAGCCGCTATCCTGCAATCGCAATGTTGGACTTCGATTCAGACGACAATTCAATTCTCCCTGCTCACAGAGGCTCCCGTTTGGCTGCTCTCGCATCTCCTTCTTCCGCATTGCGCTCCGAGGGCGTGTTGCCGGGCTCCGGCATGGACTCTGCTCGGCTGTCTCGGCTGGCCTCCCTCCTGCCTCCTCGTGGTTCATCTCCCTCGCCCTCCGCTCTTCAATCTGCTCCGATACCTGGCCGCAAAGACATGCAAGTCCTCCGCTCCCCCCGCCAGCGCAGAGGGCTCCAGATGCGCCCGCTCCTCTCATCGTATCGATGCGGGCTTTGGACCTTCTTCAGCTTCCCGATTTGTGGCGGCACCCACGTCCGGTCCTTCAGCTGTTTGGCAGCTCCCGGCCTCCCTCCACTCCTCTGGACTCTCTAACTCAATCCGTTTCGACGCTGTCCGCACGCTCCGAACCTGGAAAATCCCCGCACTGCCACGTCATCCCTGCCGCTGCCTGCTGAGACGGACCTCCCTCATTCACATTAAGGAACGCCCGCGGGCCAGCCCTAGGTAAGATGTATCCAACCATGTTTTCTTCCATATCTTCTATCATTAGATTCGCTTCATGCTTGTCTGCCCCTTATTTAGGCTACACTTTATTCCCATGCATGTTATATTTCACTAGCCTAGCTCTAATTATTCTAGGGAAACTTGTTAATTTAGTCTCTCTTTTCCTCCCTCCCCTGAAGTCGCATCAGCAGGTGACGTCTCAGCTTTAATCATTGATCAGCCCGTCATCTTACTACCCCTTATTATTTTCTGATTATCGTCTTTCTCCTCATCATCTGTCGTCTAATAATTATAATAATAATTATAATAATAATCAATAATATCATAATAATAATATAAAAATAATAAAAATAATAAATAAAATAATTAGATAATTAAAAATATTTAAAAATAATAAATAATAACAAATATAAGACGATATTATCAATCTCCTGCATGCTCCAATTTACGGGTGCTGGTTCATCCTTAGGTTTTGGGGGGTCTTCAGGTTAGGTGTTCGTGGTCCACGGCCTTTATTCTACACCCATCATCTGCCCTGGAGGCTACCCCGTTCCATAGCCTGCGTCGAGGGGCCGTTGGGAAGATCGCATATCCGCCCACCACGATATTTGCAGTAGTAAAACTTTATTAGGTCGCTTCTCCCGTTTCTTATGCCCTCACAGAGCATCATCCGGCAGCAGTTCTAACATTTCATCATCTAGCGCATCACGTTCAGGCATTCTAGCTCTTCATTACACCCGAGGGTTACCCCACGTCACTCGATGGTTCTTCATCACCTCAGGATACTTCAGATTCATGCGGCTTCCCTCAGGGTGTATCCTGGGCATCCGTCCCGATTGGAGCAGCTACGTAGTCAGCTACTCACGGGGTTTCTGAGGCTTCCCTCAGTACTGGGCCGATGGTCTTAGCCTATACCTCATCTTCCGCCCAGATCTCATCAATTCTCGCAGCGCAGCACTCTCTCTGCCTCTAGGTAACTCTAACACAAATACTGGTGGTGGTTCGAACTCTTTCTCATCATTACCTGACCTAACCATGCCCATCCTCTAGCTCGTCGTCTCCTCCTCCTACTCATCAGTTATCAACATTCTTGCTTTGTGCAGCCTTCATGCTGTCTCCCTGCTATACTTATGCTGTCTTAATTCTGGCTTATACGTGCAATCTCACCTTTATGTCAGGCAGCATCATGCCTTCCCTTGTGTGTCTCGTCGTGTCTGGTCTACGTCTCGTCATGCTCTTTACGCCATTTTGATGCATTCCCTAATGCACCAATATGCACCATGTCTGCGTCTCGTCATGCGTCTGTATTTCGTCATGTCTTTTGTTCATATATGTCATCATCCGCAAGATATATGTTTTATGTCATCCGCAAGAATCATCCGCAAGATATATGTTCTATGTCATCCGCAAGAATCATCCGCAAGATATATGTTCTATGTCATCCGCAAGAATCATCGGCAAGATCATTATCAAACTCATCCGCAAGATTCATCATCATCTCACCTTATGTCAGGCAGCAACATGCCTTCCCTTGTGTGTCTCTTCGTGTCTGGTCTACGTCTCGTCATGCTTTTTACGCCATTTTGATGCATTCCCTAATGCACCAATATGCACCATGTCTGCGTCTCGTCATGCGTCTGTATTTCGTCATGTCTTTTGTTCATACATGTCATCATCCGCAAGATATATGTTTTATGTCATCCGCAAGAATCATCGGCAAGATCATTATCAAACTCATCCGCAAGATTCATCATCATCTCACCTTATGTCAGGCAGCAACATGCCTTCCCTTGTGTGTCTCTTCGTGTCTGGTCTACGTCTCGTCATGCTTTTTACGCCATTTTGATGCATTCCCTAATGCACCAATATGCACCATGTCTGCGTCTCGTCATGCGTCTGTATTTCGTCATGTCTTTTGTTCATACATGTCATCATCCGCAAGATATATGTTTTATGTCATCCGCAAGATCATTCAGCTCATCCGCCAGATTCATTATCAGACTCATCCGCCAGATTCATTATCAGACTCATCCGCCAGATTCATTATCAGACTCATCCGCAAGATTCATTATCAGACATTATCAGACTCATCCGCAAGATCCATTATCAGACTCATCCGCAAGATTCGTCGCCGTCGTCATCATCACCGTCGTCGTCATCATCGTCGCCGTCATCATCACCATCGTCACCATCGTCATGGGGTTTATCATCATCATGGGATCATCATCGTCATCATCATCACCATCATCATGGGATCACCAGCATCATCACCATGGGACCTTCAGCACCATCATCATCATCATGGGTTCATCGTCATCATCATCGGGGGATCGTCATCATCAGCAGCATCATCAGCATCAGCATCATCATCATGGGGGAATCATCATCATCATCTTCATCATCACGGGATCATCATCATCACGGGATCATCGTCATCACGGGATCATCATCGTCATCACGGGATCATCATCGTCATCACGGGATCATCATCGTCATCATCACGGGATCATCATCGTCGTCATCATCACGGGATCATCATCGTCGTCATCATCACGGGATCATCATCGTCGTCATCATCACGGGATCATCATCGTCGTCATCATCACGGGATCATCATCATCATCATCATCACGGGATCATCATCATCATCATCATCACGGGATCATCAGCATCATCACCATGGGATCACCAGCATCATCACCATGGGATCACCAGCATCATCACCATGGGATCACCAGCATCATCACCATGGGACCATCATCATCGGGGGTCATCAGCAGCATCATCATCATCAGCATCATCATCATGGGGGAATCAGCATCATCATCATCAGCATCATCATCATGGGGGAATCAGCATCATCATCAGCATCAGCATCATGGAGGTTCGTCATCATCATCACCATGGTTTCATCATCGTCATCGTGGGTATGTATTCTTCGTCATCATCATCATCATCATCAGTAAGTTTTCAGCGTCAACCTTGGTCACCATTCTCTTCAACAACCTGGCTCGGTAAGTTGTTCTCAAATCTTCTCAGCATTTCACTACGCACACTTTTATTCTGTCCTTAGCGTATGCCTCACGAGCATACGGACTTTCCGGCCTCTACCTTGGCTTTTTTTGGGGGGAACATCCATATTCTCATTTATCTACTCATGCATGTTAAAGCATAATTCAGCATGAATGTTCCTGCTGAGGTCTGAGCGCCAAAGACTATACTTTCTATCAATAAATTCTTCTAATTATCTTTTCTCTCTGTGTGAGTTTTTCAGATTGAAATGAAGCTCTAGCGGAAGTTCAATTGAAGAAACTCTGACTTACCTCCATCCAATCAGAAGCTAATCCGTCTCCGAAGCGAGCCATTCAGCTTCGAACTACTCCACCACAAGCCCAATCAGCGTCCTGCTCTCACTTTATAAACGCTCCAAATCTTCATCCCAGCCGCTATCCTGCAATCGCAATGTCGGACTTCGATTCAGACGACAATCCACCCACCTCCATCCCCTTCCCCGCCATCGCAGCTGAATCGTCATCCATGACTCGACTTCACCTCAACCTCATCAGAGAGTATTAATCCCAGTTGTCACCATCCCCTGTCTCACCGCATTGGTCCGGCAGAAGACCACCATGTTGAGCCCGGTTCTGCCAGAGGTTTCTTCCCAAGGGGGAGTTTTTCCTCTCCACTGTCGCTTCATGCTTGCTCATCATGGACAGTTCCCGAGTCTCCGAGTGAAGCCTGGCGTCAGCTCCCTCAGTCTTCTAGTCCCACATTCTGCTCAGCAGATCACCTTGTCAACCAGCTCCGATTAAACCACCACCAGTTTCAGGCCGGGGGAACATCCCTATTCTCATTTATCTACTCATGCATGTTAAAGCATAATTCAGCATGAATGTTCCTGCCGAGGTCTGAGCGCCAAAGACTATACTTTCTATCAATAAATTCTTCTAATTATCTTTTCTCTCTGTGTGAGTTTTTCAGATTGAATTATATTTAGCATTTGAAGTACATCATATTTTGAACCTCTTGCCTCAATCAGTATTTTCATTGACTGTTTTCAGATCTAATGATTTTTCTTTTTATATTATTTATTTTTATTTTATGGGGCTAGATCGGTCTCAGTTTTCACAAATCCATATATGTGATTCATACATGCACAGGAGGACAAGATCTCCAATCGTACTCTGTGTGTGTGGATCTTTTACACTCTGAGAAGAAGGCAGTTCTCTGTTCTATCATGGAGACACTAGGAACTGGCAACCCTTAAGCTCTTTGTCACCTGAATTGTAGTGTAGAAAAGTTTTGTATAAATATTCATATGCTATGAACCCCAATTTTAGCCTCATTAAACTGGCTCCCTGTACATTTTAGATTTAATTTTAAAGTTCTTTTGTTTTTAAGTCTCTCCATCGTCTTGCTCAATGTTATCTTTCTGAGTTGCTGCACTCTAATGCACCCTCCCTTTCACTCAGGTCAGCCGATCAGCTGATTTTTGAGAAGCTTAGGGGCGATCGTGCTTTCTATGTGGCAGCTCCAAAAATGTGGAACGACCTT